GCCTCAACTCGATTTTTTTTTCTTCTTCTTTTTTTTTTTTTTGATGCCGTTCTGAACTCAAAACGCGTTTTTGGTCTCCTGTTGGCGCGTTAGGCAGCGTTAGTTGTTGGTCAGGACCTTGGAAGGGTTTTGCCCCTTTGCTGGGTGACTTAGGGGAAATGTCTTTCCCTTCCTGCGGCTCCGTTTCCCTTCCTAAAGCAAGGCTGATCTGCCCTGTGAAATAAATCCGTGTCTATCAACGGAAAGTGCTGCGGACAAGGTTTTTATAACAAGTGATACTAACAGAACTATTTGCCTCTGATGTGTGTTGCTTGTATCTTTCTAACAACAGTTTTTAGTATAGCTGCCACTTAATATAAATATTGTCTGTATACATCACATCTTATGTCAGTCTTCTGGCAGGTGTTAGATCTACGTGACCTTTCTCAGCTCTTGGAAAGTCCCTTAGGTTCCAGAGCTGTCCTGCGTGTCATGTACTGATGTCTTGTGTTAACGCCATTCTAGCTCTAAGTGCCTGCGCAGTTTCAATGTGCAAGTTCATATGCTGCTGTGCAAGTAATATGCTCTGTAAATAATAAATACAGTATACTCTGTATATGTATATTAAAAAAAAAAAGTAAAATCAGTGGGAATGCCGTCAGTGAGAAGCATTTCCATGGCATATACCTTGGTGAGTCTAGCAGTTGAAGTTTTCATCTAACACAGAGTCGGTGAATGGATTAACTGTAATCTTATTTCAGCACCTTTCTTCCCTGTTGTCAAATTACATACCCTGCTTGTTTGTTCACAGGAAGTTCATGAAGTGGATCATGGTCTTGTTAGCCAGCTACTTGTGGATTCAGAGGAGGCTCTTGGCTCGTGCACAGAGAAAATGCAGGTTCCTGCTCAGTATAGCTGGAGTGCTGACTGGAGCTTTTGGGTAATGTGTCTTACCTTTCTTCTAATTTGTTGGGTTTTTTTGTATGTGTACGTGTGCTAGCTTTACATCCATAGTTCTCAAATTGCTTTGTAGTAATTAATTAATAACACCTTCCCTGCCCGTGTTGTGAGGCAGATAAATTATCATTATCGCTTTACTGAAGCGTAAGCTGAGACAGAGAGGGGCAGAGCTCTTTACCTGATGTCATGTATCAAGTTAGTGGCAGGATTTCTGACTTAGGTACCTAGTCCTGTCTCCCACTTCCTTGTGTAGTTTATTAGCCTATGCAATGTCTCTCTATGCCTTTAGGAAGTCATTGTTGATGCTTTTGCTCAGTAAGAGCTGAATTTTGGTTCTTACTGTTGGATAGCTCTTCTCATGTGCTTTCCTAGTGTCTGCTTTTGGTCAAGCAAGCCTATGTGCTTTCCTCAAAAGGAAATACGCTTCACGGCTCCTATGTAGAGAGTAGTCTTTGAGACTAGAAAGAGCGGGAGGAGGGGTCTCACTTTTCTCCTCTCGGGGATGTTGTCTCACTCAAAGTGTGGAGGGTATCGTAATAAGCGCTGTCTTAAATATTCTTCTGCTGCTTTTTGGTGTTTTCTTTGCATTGCCATGAGAGAAGGTAAATATATTTATGAGTGTAGACTTAGGGGGTGTGTTTTGCTGTTAGGTTAGTGGATGGGTTGCTGCTGTTAGATAGGAGTTGGGAACACTCGTATGTACAGTCACAGGCAGGATAACCCAAACCTCTTACAAGATCAAGTGCTCTGCTCCTCAGAGTTTGACAAAATGACTCATGTTCTGCATCATGTGACGTTAGAGTAAATTGGCATGCTTCAGTGTGTGCATAGGAATGTAACCTGGACTACCGTATCCTTGTCCGTATGAGCTTACCAGAGTGTGTTCGTTGTGCTTACCAAGCAAAAGATTAAGTCATATAATAAGTAATTTGGCAAAGGCCAAAGGGAATCAGTGGCAGTCCTGAGAATAGAACTATGGAATCAGATTTCCCGACTCCATATTTATAAATCTAGCTTCTATGTCTTTTTTTGTCCGTCCTGTTAAAGCTAAGTGTATGTCTTAATGATCAGAACGTTGAGTTTGCATCTTGGGTCCTAGCTCAAATTTCCCACAGAACGCTTGTATACTTTTAAACTAAACAATAGTAACCCGGACTTAATAAAAAAGGGAGAGGCCCAAAGGTATCTCAGTAGATCTTAGAATTGCGTTGCTAGGGAGCGTTTAGATCATTCATTGTTTCTCCAGTGTTCCTGCAGTAGCAAAGACTAGGCACAGCTGTTCAGCCTGTGCCCAGCTGCATTTGCGTACCTGAATCGATGGCAAATCAGGTTGCACAGACATAGTAACTGTCAGCTATGCTCTCATTAGAGGCCAAATTAGACTGTGTAAACTGGCTTCCTCTCAAAGGTACATCTACAACCATTAATGCAGAGGGTAGTTCATGTGAGAAATGAAACCTGTTTAGATCTTGGGGTCCATTTGTTGGACCGGCAGTCTGCCGAACTTGCCAAGGAAAGGCAAGGAGGATATTTTACCATCTAAAATAAAGTCAGTGAAGAGTAATGTGTAGGATCTAGCTGTGCTATTGACTCTGTAATTTTAGAACTGAGATGCATGCCTAAGGTTAAAATTTTCTTCGGATAGTATTTGACATGCATATACAGTGCGGTATATTGTGTGTTCATAGTGCTGTTTTCTGCTTCCAGTAATGATGCATGCCTGTAACTTCTAGAGGGACTGGGATTCTTTGGTGCAGTGAAAGTTACTGTGAAAATGTAAGGTGTTATCTAGTGTGATTAAAAAGGTTACCTTCTGCCTGTAACTTGTACTTCAACAACCTCAGTATTTGTTTGTCGTTCGTGTTTATCTAGTTGTGTAAATATGACCTTGTACTTAAAACAAAGGAATTATGTAAACACTTGCCTTCTGTGAGATACTGCTGTGGCTTTTAAAGTGCTAACTGTGCTGCTTATGTCATTGATTAATCTTAAAAACCTATATCAGTGTGTCTATGCTTTTATTTATAGAAAGCTGTGGTATTGAGACATTCCCTTAGCCTCAAGGGGACTGAATGTAGCAGTAGCAAGAGGCAGAATGTCACAAATTAAAGGCAAAAATTAAAATCTTTGAATTTTCTAATTAAAATGTTATGTCACTGACTTTTTTTCTTTGCTCTTCTAGACAGAAAATATGTTTTAATAACTTACATGGTTGAGCAGCTGCTGAGTATATAGACAAATCATTAGAATTCCCTAGGTACTGAGTCATAATAAATGTATAGGTGATAACACAGAAGGCAGCTTGTTCTAATAGACAAAGCATGTGTCCCTAACAATTTACCAAGGATGATCTTAGTGTCCTGTGGCAGGTATGGATTTGTTCCGCTCGTTCCTGCTCTTAAGTCAGTATGACTGAGGAGCTGCTACAACAGTAACACTAGCCTGCGATCTTGTCCGGATGTCTGCTTTGCTGCCTGGGTGGTTAGCTTTGACAGGCTGTGTATGTCTGAATATTGTTTGGCCTACTCCAAGAACTAGCTTCTTCTAAGGAAGTACTGTGAAGTACCAAGTAAGTTTATCCAATGATGGAAACAAAATGTAGATGTTAGAGCCTGACTGGTTTGACTTCAATTTTTCACGGATCTGAGTGGGAGTAGGCAGTTGTGCCATGCCCCTGAAAGTCAGGCCAGGTATCGTGAACGCTCAGTAAGTGCTGTGAGTGCATATGGTTAGCAGTGAACTTGGGCTGGGAGACTCTGGGATATAAACTCTTCCCTGAATAGGGTGATTGTGTAGAAGTGAAGGGCAGCAAAAAAGGAACAGGGAAGAAAAAAAGAAAAACAGTTCATTGTGCTATGTCTAATTTTTGCTATCTCTGAAATGATAATACTTTTGACAGCTTTCCTGAAGGATTTTTGAGAATGAATAATTGTTCTTTACTCGTGCAAGCAACTCTTTAATCAGTAGTACTAATTGCTTTTACAAGATTTACAGGGCTTGGTACTGCTTGCAGTGTTTCTTTGAACGTGTCCTTTTCATGAATATCCTATAAAATGTTGTTTTGGGGATATTTTTAAGTTTTATTTGGAAGCCTTCTCACTAGAACTGGATAAAACTGGACTTTCTTCCCCTTTACGGAGGGGGAAGAAAAGCTTGCTTGCAAACCTGCTCTCGGAGCTTTCCTTCTTTATTGGAACCAGCGAAGCTTGCATCTACTTTTGATTAAATTGTTCTATTTGCAGATGCTAAAACTAGAAATTAATAAAATCAAAGGTGTGGTGAAACTGAACAGTTATACCTAGAAGTTGTATTTCAAGATTTTCAGTTCATTTTTTTTGTCCTTCCAGTCTTCATACTGTAATATAATTAGATTTGATATCTTTGGAAGAAGAAACCTATGAAAACCTTATGTGACACCTAGTATAATGAAGAAGGTAAAGGCATTTGAGGAAGCTAGTGAAAAGGATCCTTGCCTCAAAGGTGAGGACATTCTGTCTGGAGGCTGACTTTTTCTTTTAATTAATAGCCTACAGTAGAAACCTTGTCTCCTGGCAAGCAAGACAATTTAAAACTCCTTCCCTTCATGAAGTGGTACAAGGAAAGAGTTCTTGAAATCAAATGGATATCTCGGAAAATGAAAAGATGCTAATGAAAACTCTGGAAGCTATGTTCAAGAGTTTGGAAGTGTGAGATACCAAGGAAGTATTGGAAAGAAAGTAAAAGATGCTTTTAAAAAAAAAAAAATTGAATGGAGTGGCAGTTTAAAGAATTGGTCAGTGTGAAGGAGTACAATGGATCCAAACAAATAATGCAGAGAAAAGTGAAAAGAATTGAGGCCTCTCATTTTAATAATATAAGAATGAATAAGGTTGTGTAAGATATGGAAAAGGATTTTGGAAGATGGCAAAAAATGTGGATTTGATTTACACAAAGGGCTAACTTGTGGGAGCATGTGAGAATGTATATGCTAGGCATATGAAGAACTGATGACTCAAACCTTCAGATATATATATATCCATCTGCAATGTATATAATCTTATACACACATTGTATAATCTTCTACACACATGGGTAGAAGATAATACAACCCAGATATAAGTTGACATATTTTGGGGCACAGGAGTGCTATGGGTGAGCATTAGATAAAATACCAATTGCATCTAGAGGTGTTTGAATGCTCCTTCCACCTTTTTCTGAGGAATATGAACTGGGAATATGCATTTACTCTGGGAATATGAATTATTGGGCTTGTTAAATTATGTTGGGGCAGGCTAGTATTTAAGGCCCTCTCTCAGTTGTTTCATCTTATATATTGCGTACTTGATATCTTCTTTCAGAAGAAACTCTTCTGAAAGAGTAGCAGTGTAGCTTGTTTGTTACATCAGAGGGGAATTTTTAGCTTTTTTTCCTATTTTATGTATTTCTTTATTTGCTGGCCTGAAGCAGTCTAATAAGGAAGATAGGAAGTAGATGAATGCTATGGGTCTGCAAAGAGAATAAAATCTTTTGCACACTTAACACTTAAAGAAAAAATAACTTATAACTTTGATATAAACAGCTGTTGCTATACTTGTAACACTGGTATATTTTGGTTATTTGGTTACTTATCTGGAATCTCTAGAGAGTAAGGGCTTTTTAGCCCTAGTGATAACACTAGTTACATAGAAGCAGCGTTTTAAAAGGGTGAAAAAAGACAAATTGCTTATGTTCAAGGGTTAGTCTGAATTACATGGCTTATTAGGTTAATTTCTTTTCTTTGCTTATATTCATGTGGTGTATCTCTTTTTTTTTGCTTTTGATGTAGCTGCAAACTGAGCACTGGGGTAGATCGACTGCTGTCAGCTTTCACTTTCTGAAATC